AAGTTGATCCGGTAAATAGTTTCGGCGATATGAGCGTTTTTGTAAGATTTTTTTAATATAGTAAAATCGGATCGCAGAACTTTACGCGTTGTTTTTTTTTACGAAACGTTGTTTACAGAGTCGGTAAGGAAAATTTCTCCGGATGTACCAATTGACTTTAAATTTCTTCATGACCTTCTTAGATAAGGAAAGAATACAATTTTTGATAATAATTTCGTTTTTTTAAGCCACTCTGAAATGTAAATTTTTTCATAAAAACTATTTTTTTTTTGGAAGCTGCCATTTTGTCAACAATTTAAATTTTGACTAGTTCTTCGATTATTACCTGTATTCGTCTATAGTAATAATAATTTTTTTTATTTGTTGAACTTAGTAAGACCAGCTGGAAACGAACATTAGGATGGATGATTATTGACAAATTTGCTCAGTTTTGCTGGAAGAAATTGTGCAAAATTCGACTGAAAAAAGCTGATTTACATATGACGTAGCGCCGATGGACTAATGCACGAAATTTTTTTTCACAGAAAAAATGCCATAAAATTTATGTGGTAATACAACCAACATCCTTGTCTCTTATTAAATGTTTCTAATATATTTTCTTTAAAATAAAATTTTACCATCCGAAAAAAGCACTCTTTATGTATTCGTATATGGGTATTAAACGCAAAATGAATGTGAAAGTATGCAAGTATGCAAGAAATTAATAAAATCGTATTCCTGAACATAGCGTAAAAGAAAAAGCAAAACAAAAACAAACATTTTAACGATAAAACATCAACAATGGACAAATGAATTTCAACAAACTGCATTTTTTTTTATATATTTAATAAAAAAGTTTTAGTACTTTACGATGTTCAGTTGACTAATAACAATTAATAACATTGGTGTTTAGAATTATTTCAAACAAATTTTTATAATATTAAATATTTGGAAATATACATATGTACATATAATAAGGCGGGCATATCGGCTCATATACTTGTAGTACAAGTTGTTGATAATATTATTAAGATATGAATTAAGCCTAAGCGATTTTAAACTTAAAATATTAATAGTATTTAGATAGAAAAGAAAAAAACGCCAACCTTGGATGCAACTAAAATAACCTTCACAGGTGCATTTCTTATAGCATAAAAGGTTATAAAAAGATATTTATCTTGATTTTGATATCTAAACAATTTCTTCGCAGCTTTTTGTGCTTATTCATACAAGAACTTGATTTTGATCGATCACTTTGTATGGCATCTATATATTATAGTGGTCCGAATTTGGTGGTTTCGACATTTGCAGATTCTTGAGTAGAAAATGACGTGTGCAAAATTTCAGATCGACATCTCAAACGAAGGGACTAGTTCGCTGTACACAGACAAACAGACTGACAAAGCTAAATCGAACCAGCTTGTCACTGTGTGTTACAAACATCGTGGCAAATTCAATATATCCTGTTCAGGATAAAAGCTGAAGTATTAATTCAAATTTATAATATTATATAATGCAAATCACAATTTTTTTTTCAAATCAGGTGGTAAGGTGCAATCTGGTGAAAGTGCACCGAGATTTATGAATACGATTTAAAGGTGAATTTGCAAGGTAAACGCCTAAAACGCGACCTAATGGATAAGATGGCTCCTTAAAATTTTGAGAGAATTTCCAGTTTACCGCATTTTGGGTTTCTGGCATTAATATTGTTTCTGGTATTAAATACATTGCTAAGGTAAGAAGAAGACATGTTTTCTCGATTCTCACGTTAGGGGGTTCTATGGTACCGGATTTCACTCGAATTTTATTCGACCAAAGGCAGTTATTTTGGAGATCTAACCATGGGGTTGCAAATAAATTAAACTTTTTTTTGTAATTCTGAAAATCTAAACTAAAAATAATTTTAAAAATCTCAAATACCGTATTGAATAAAAAATTATAATCCCAAATACCGTATTGAAAAAAAACTGAAATCCCAAATAAAGGTTTGAAAAATAAAAAAATCTCAAATTGTAATTAAAATTTGAAAATTTAATTTTCAATCAAAAAAATTGTAATTAAAAACTTCACAGTCCTGCTTAAATATTCACTTTTATCAAATATTTTAAGTTGAATTTTATAAATAAATTGGCCATTTGAACAAAGTTTAACTAAATTCATAGCATATTCCTCCCAGCGGCAAATTCCACTCATCACAGTATTGCAATTTTACGCTATTGATTTGAAATAGTTTTCAATAAAAGTGTTGTGGAATAAAATACGAAATTGCTTTCAAAGCATTAGATTAGATTGAATCAAAAAGCACACATACATACACATGTGTATACACAAAATAAAATAGAAACGAAGAGAAGAGAAATTCAGGAAGTGATTCCGCTTTGAAAATACTCGCGGTGTGCAATGAGAGTGTAACTAATGCAGCGATACTAATTCGAAATCTTAGCAAAATTTAATTTTTTATTCTGCTTTACTTTATATATTTTTGTTTTATTTATGTTATTTAGCGCATTTTTGTTTGAAAGAGCTTAAGAGAAATAGCGAAAACGAGAGATCGAACGAAAACAGGGTTATTTGCCGGCGAAAACAAATATAAAAAAAAAAACATTTGTGAAAGCAATGGAAATTTTAAGAGAAGAAACGCAAATAAATAAATATGTGTATATGGATAAATACATATCTATACCATTGTACAGTAGCATATTCTTACTTTTAGTGATATTAAAAGTAAATAAATATATTAGTGGAGGTAATAAGAAGCTAAACAACATTATAGGTCAATTTACAGTGAATTGTTATTGTTAAAACTCTAACAAAACAATAAACAAACAACGAAATCGTCTACAAGCACAAGTCAAATTTATATATTATGTTTGTCTACACAAAAAAAAGTTGTTTGAACGCCTGAGAGAATACTTCTACACAAAGAAATTGAAAGTTGAAAGCACGCAAAAAATGCGAAGCAAAACTGACGAGAAAACGAAAAATAAAGTGAATAAATTACTAGCACTAATCAGATAAGGTGTATTTCAGGTTCCACAACGTGAACATTTGAGACAATCATTTAATAGCATGCCTGTAAGAGCGGCGGAAAATTCAACAAACATATGCTTCTTCTGCTACTCTCACTACAAAAAGAATGCAATTTTTTATGTGTACGGCATTAAAATTTACGCATTGGTCATTGCTATATACATGTGCATAATTAATGCTGAGGAAAACAAAAAATATAGCAAAAAAAAACTATAAAAAAGAAATGAAACGTCTTTTGAAGTAAAACTGGAAAACAACAATACTTAATATGTGCTCGCTTGTTTGCTGACACAGCACAGCACATCAAGTGGGTCAGTAGTGTGTAAATAAGATGTTTGGTCTCGTATCACACGGCGAAAGGGCGAACGATCACTTGGCAACAAAGCGAATACCCCACGGAAGTACATACATATGTGCATAGTATGTAGGTGAATATATGCAAAAAAAAAAGTATGGTTTATATGGGTGAAAATTAAAGTGAGGGCGCAAGCAAGTCTAAATTACATGTGTGTAGAATAAATCAATTCAAAACTAGAAAAAATGATTCATTGTACCGCAGCTATAATACCGAATAATACCGAAGCTACATAAAAAAGAGAGATTGTAGTGCTGTCTTGGACAATAGTCTATGCTAAATTTATATCTTATCATATAAAAAAATTTTCCATACAAAAACTTAATTTTTATCCTCAGTTTGTATGGCACCTACATATGGTACATACATACATATATGTTATGCTATCGTGGTCCAATCCGAAAGATTTCTTCGAAAATTGTATTGTATTGGTTTGGAAAATACTTCAAGATATCTACATCAAATAAAAAAGTTTTCCATACAAAAAATAGGTTTTGATCGATCAGTTTGTACAGCAGATATATGCTGAAAAAATAGGGGCACTACTTCGCTTGTATAAATATTTATGCAAACATTAAAAAGTCTAATTGAGGTATTTTTTCAATCAAATATTCTTAAGGAAGCAATTTGGGGACTTTTTGTACATACATATATCTATATTTGTATCGATTCATTGCCGTTATAGGAGGCGCCTTACAACTTTTGAAACAAGTTCATACATACATACCCGTAGATACAAATGTATATATAATTCTTACAATCAATTTAATTTTAATAGTCCGTGTAATTACGTAACGAGGCGTGTACACACACTTTTATCTATTAATACAATATAAAAATATTATGTACACACATTTTTATCTATTAATACAATATAAAAATATTATAACTATTTCTTGCAATTGCAATCGAATAAACACTAATACAGACAAAGACCGTGCACTTGAAATTTTATATCAGATATAAGCGCATATTGGTGCTACAATCATATACTCGCGGAATTAACTCTACAACAAGGTCGGTGCTTATCAGTAATATGGCGTTAAGAATGACCAATTAAAATAATTCAAAGTACTTAAGTACGACAATAAAAAAAAGACAAATATACAAACATACCAATATTATTGTAGAAACAAGCACCAGACTTACTAAAGAAATACATACATACATACATATATATGGAACATATGCATATTAATACATACTATACATAATACATACATATGTACCTATGTATGTATGTTTGCAAAACTATAACACACTCAAACATGTTAAGATCTACACACTTACCTCTTTAACTTTCTGCCTCTTCTCTTCCACTTTTGGATCCGGATCAGCATTTGCGCTCGGGTTAATTGTTAAACTAGCAATTTTTCCCACAGGTAAATTGTTGTTATCCATGCGCGCTGCCGCGTCTTCATTGTTGATATTCTGTCCTTTTCCGGCGGTAGCTACACTTTCTGGTGGTCCTTCACCATTTAAAGGTGGTGCTGCGCCTTGTTGTTGCTGTTGTCCATCATCGCCTACGCCCATTTCCTCGCCATCATAACCAGCATCTTGTTGGCGTTGTTGCTGCTGCTGCTGCAGTTCTGGCTTATCTAATATTTCACCTAATTCTTCTTTGATTTTAGCTTGTAGCTTCTGACGGTCGCCAATAAAATGTGGATCAGCATCTTTTGGTGCGTGTGCAGCGAGTGGTGGTGCCGGTATGAACATTTCAGGGCCGGCTTTTTGGAATTGCTTATAAACACGCAGAACGCGTTCCCCGCCAAAATTATCGGGAAGGAGAAATATACCACCGAAGCACAGTAAGCATAGCGTAGCTAACACCAAACCAATAAGGAATTTTTCACGCAAATGAAAATTCGATTTACGACTAATCGGCCCAATGCGATACATTTTGATTCAATTGATGGGTTTCTTCTCACTTCCAAAGTTTGTGATTTTAATTTCTATAAAATTCGCTGTTTTACTTTATTTAACTTCTGCGAGAGCAAACACACGATTTGGGGACGAATGGTCAAAAAATTAAGTACCGTTAAGAGGGAGGGGTCAGCGGTAACTGCAATTTTTTTTTTGCAAAATTCACAGATTATAATTCACAACATAAAAAGGCAGGAAGACTAAATATTAACTGGACGGCGGGTTGCACAATAATAAAAGCTTCGTTATTAGTTTCACATTAGTTGCAATTCTTTCAAATTCACAATTACATATTTTGTACACGCAAAAATAACACTTTCACTTTGTATCTATGTGTGCTTTGTTCAAGTTACCTCCCACTAAAACATCATTTTTTTCTAATTTTACTGCTTTTCAAGCGAAATTGTAGCGAGTATCAAATAGGCACTTGATACGCTCTTTTGTTTGAGAACTTTGTAAAAAATGCAATTGTGTTTAAATAATTAATAATTTTTATGCCAGCAACCTTTTTAAGCCACAATATACAATAGGTAGCACAAAATAACTCTGAAAATGATGATAGCAAGAAGCGTTTTATAAATGTACAAGCAATCACCTATCGCACACGACTGTCAATATGACAGCTCCAAATGTCAGAGAACGCAAAACACCACTTTTTGGCGCAAAGGGGGCATTATAGGAGAGCGCGATGGAACAGCAATTCGCTGAGAACTGAGTAATTTTTATAAGTAACACAAAATCGGCGAATTGATGGTAATAGTTTCTTTTTTATTAGTTGTTGTTTGAGGCTCCCATTGGAGATTTTTTTTATTGTATGTAATTTAGTTTTGTTTACAACGAAAGTTATTCGCTTTTAGTGAGACGTGTTTTTGAAAGCGTTTGCTACGCGTAATAGTGTTTATAACAAGGCATACAAAATTAACTCTGGTTGTTAATTGGAACTCTTTCACTTTGTATGCAAACAAAATTCTCTGAAATATAATTCTTATTGGCAATGTTTTCTTTTTTGCATTCCATTTAAGAAATACGATATCATGCGTTTTCTTCAAATCGTTAAGTCACAATTTTCCGTTTATAATTTAATATACTAAATCACTATACCAGCATTTCTTTCTCAGTCAATTACAGAAGAATAATAGAAAATTATAGTTTTCCAATAACAGTTAAGATGCTACCAAAATACAAGAGATTACTTTATTTTACATTATTTGTTTTCTGTTTGATTTAGTTTATCGTCTCCCGTTTAGTTACATTTTATTATTGCCTATTTTTGGTAACAATTTTCGTGTGTGTTTTTATCGTGCAGCGTTGCAATTAAGAAAGGGACATTTAGAAAAGCTAGTACAAAATTTCCCATCCCCTAAAGAGCGTAAAAGTTAAGATTTATAATAATTTATATTTAATATAAATTTTCTATAATAACAACGAATGGTATTTAACATTTCGGCAATAATCACATATTAAATTTGAATACAAACTATAACTGTGATTTGTATACATGATTTAACTAAGAAAAATTATAAAACATAACCTTGGCAACATTTCAAGCCATTACTGATAATCAAAATAATTGTAGTTTTATAATTCCCAAAATCGATATGTTGTTTAATATATGTGTGAAATAAATACGAAGAAGCAAGATTTTGTTATGGAGCCCACTATTAAATATGAAAATTGTGAAGAAATATTCATAGGACCGGCTGGCGTAATCACCCCAGGCACTGGACAAAAACGTCATTTCGATAATATCAGCGATGGAAATGAATATGCGAGCGGAGGTGGCAGTTATTGTCAAGAAAATCCAAATCCAAACCAAAAATCACAAAATTCTGGTTTTATAGCACCCACGCATCAGACTTTGTACGCACAATTTCAAAATACTGTCGTTGGTCAACAGGAGATGAAACCGGCTAAACGTTATCGACGCGGAGAAAGCGCGGTATTGTTTTCGCCACCTTTCTTCGAAGTTGTATGTTTAAAGAATTCGCTTTATTTTATTGTTGTATTTCGATACAGTTGTGTTTATTTATTTACATTTGCAGCCAGATGACATTAACGCACAAGGCGATACATTTACAGCCCGATGCGTCTCTTGCCAAGTAATTTTACGTGGGCACAAAAATGTTTCGTCCAACTTTATTAAGCACATGAAACGCTCACATCCTGAAGTACACAAAATGTATGAAAATTACAAATTGTTAAAACAGCATAGTAGGAATATGAACTTACTGGTGAATAAGTCACCAGCGGCGACAAGTGAACAAAGCTTTTTTGATGTTAGTACATGCTTAGATAATACACAATCCAACACTACACAAATAGGGACTGATGCAGTAGAAAATGAGCAGAATTCCGAAACCACCGAAAATTCCCAACCGAACTCTAATACAGATTTAAATGATACCAACGAAAATTCAGTTGATTCTCAACCCAACAAAAACGATATTTCTATGTCTGAAGTTAATTTATCAAACAAAACCCTCCACGCAATAAGCAAAATGTTTGATGAAAAGTTAAAGTCATTCGCAACAAAAGCAGAATTGAGCGAGGTGACTAAAAACATTATCAACCAAACGCGTTCACGACAAAGTACACCATGTTCGACCAGCGTTCATGACGGGCATAATGATGACGATGAAGTTGAAGGTAAAAAAGTAGATAAATATAAAACAATACAAAATGAGCTTGACATATTGCGTCAACGTTTGTCTCAATCCGAACAGAGTAAACGCATTTTACAACGCGAACTTCACACACTAGAAAAAATAGTGCGAAAACGTAAGCTTATTATAAATAATATACCAATAGCACCAGATCAACAGCCGCAAGCTGCAGTAGAGCAATTGCTTAAGGAACGTTTTGATCTTCCGAATGTGCAGTTAGAAAATGTTTGTGTTATAGGCAATAGAAATAGGCAACATAACGATAGGCAGACGCTTCTTGTGGAAGTGGTGCGAGAGTGTGATGTGAATGCAATATTTAGAAGGAGTGCTTGTTTAAAAAACACCGGTATATATATTGACTCCCAAATGTCCCAAATATCGCTGAAACGAAAAGAAAAGCTCTTGGTGTTGCGACGGGAGATGTTGCGGCGAAATGAATCATTGAAAATATTAGTGCGTAACACACAATTACTCGTATGTGGGACTTATTTCTACTGGGATGACTTGTTGGGTTTGTGTGTGGGCAATTTGAATATGTCGGAAAGCACTTTGGTCAGCGATGATGCAGCCGAGGAATTGAAAAAACTAACAAAACTTGATATGAAAGAATTCCTTAATGTTTTGAAAAATTATGATATTAGATAAGTTTTAATTACTTTTACTCATTCCAATTTTTTAACGCAAATCCATTTCTGTTAATTGGATTTAATCTAATTTCTTATGAAAAAGTGACATATTTTGACAATTACATACCTTAAATAAAAAGTTTAGCGGATTTCCTGAAATTCTATATATTTTGTAATATTACACATACATATATAAAAGTTTATTTGTTTTATTTCTATATCAAGACGTTCAAACTTCAGGGTATTTGGGAACGTATATAAGAAAATCACCTTAGTTATTTGTATTCTTCAAACGAAGCAATGTTTTACAAGCCGCGTTATGGATCTTGGGATCAATTTGATCTGCAAGGATTAGTTTATAAGAGAAAACTATAAAAAATTGAAATAAAGAAAAAACGTACAAATTTTATGCTGCCCCTTAATAGGGAAAACTACCGGCAGCTGCTGTGGATTGGAGCATACAAAGACATATGGACTTTCAGACTCTCCATCTGGATATATTTCGCGGTACTCCTCCTGTGCCAGACAATCATCCACACGCACACAGCCTAACAAGCAACCAGTTGGATAATGCTCCGGAAATGTAATGCTGGGATCATTATAATAAGTTTTATAAAAGTTTTTTAGTTCCTCAATTTCTTCGGGATGTGGATCTTTTACGGTCGATGCTATCCATAAGCGCCCACGATGCTCACTATACCAAACACGCCCTTCGTGCCTATTTAAATATTATAATAAATATAAATATTTCCAATTGCTTCATAACAAGCACTTTATATACTTCTTTATACCGGCGACAAGCAGGGATGCCCACGGTTGATGCATTGAAAGACAATGCCGCATGTCTTGCATTTCTAATAACTCCTTATCTTGAACACGATTATATGAACATTCTGCTAAACCTTTGTTAATAGTCCCATCAGCAGCGAATGCCTTCCCTTCGGCGGTAAGCTTATAAACTGGTCGATGTTCATCATCCATGTTTGGATCAGTGCCACATGTATCCGGTGTAATTTTTTGTGTATTCTTTCGGTTAGACCAATTATTTTTGTCACCAGCGGCAGCTTTTGCTTGAGCAATTTCTTTTAGTACACGGTTTTCAAAATCGGATGTAATGGGTGGGTCATCTTCTACCTCGCGACCAGCAAAGTCAATCTTTATTTTACGTTTAGCGCGACTCTCATGTTTTTTCTCATGCATTTCCTGCTTCAGCTGTTCAAATTTGGCACGCTCTGCATCGGATAGCCAAACCGAATTTTCCTATATAAGGAATTAAATTTATGGTTCGAATTATAGACTCAAAAACATACCTCAAAGTAGTCGAGCTCATCATCAATAACTGTGGTACGTTTCTCACTATTCCGATCATATTCCAGCAAACGATCTCGTTGTTCCAATGCCTTTTTTAATGATTCGCCACCACCTTTCCCTTTCAATGACTTTAACAAAATCTGCCCTTTTTTCGTATCGCTTTTCATTATTTGCATTTCTTTGTTAGTACAAACAATATCGCCACAAAATAAGCATGGTCCACTACCTTCTTGTTCACACACTATGCGGCCACAACCCAAACAGTTATTGATTAACTCGTGCTGAGAGGCCTGACAATCACAGAGCCGACGTCCTTTTAACAGTATCACTTCTCCACTAACACTGCCGTCGTTGGTGTATAAACTTACGTATTTCGATTTTTTCTTAGCACCTTGTGATTGCTGCGGTTGTTGTTGGTTGCCAAATTTGCCGTCCAACGCCAAGGTATCCTGATTTTGTTTATTTTGTCCAGAGTTTTGAGCAGATTTTGTTTGTTTCTGTTTTTGGTTATTATTAGGCTGGGGTGAACGTTTATTATGCAGCGGTTTGCTAAAAAGGCGTTGTTTACATTCCGTCATAAATGACCGGTGATCTTCAGATTCTGAATTAAGTAGTGTTTTAAAATACTCATCGAACTCTGTTGACGATTCCATTGACAAAATGTACCTATGGAAAGTTGAAGGAGATTCTTAACAAATATCAGAAGAAAATAGTGAATTAGTTATAATGTGTTTACTGGAGCATATAATCTGGAGCCTCAAAGTCCAAACAGTTTTGCAAACGCTCACGTATCCACTTTTTCATTTTTGAATTGCTCATTATTTCACTTTTACTATAACTTTTTTAAATTTCGCAATATTAAATATGTGAGGCAGACGGCAAGGAATGATAAATAATTAATTTTTGATAACTTTTTCGATACTACATAGTTTTAATCGATTTTTCTTTAATTTTAATTGTGACGATCGTGGATGATAGAACAAAACGAACCGAGGATAAATTGACAGAACCAACAGCGAATTCGTAGATGCTAAATGTTAGAGGCGCAGTTTGTTAAAGATGTACTATATAAGGGCTGCCAGATTGTGCAGCAACACAGTTCTAGTTATGGCTCAACAAGTCACCGACTCAACCGTGGACCGAATCAGCTGATACGACTATCTAATGAGGACAATGTTTTAAATGCACACTCACCACTGCTTCAACAGACGCGCGGTAGGACATCCGCGAAAATTGGATTTACTCCGTAGAAAGAGTGATCTGAGAGTGAGAGAGCAATCTCTTGCAGCGCAGGATGGCAATCTCGATATTTCGTAGTAAATAAAAATGAACTTGAATATATTTGAATATTCTTAAAATAACAGTCGAATACACTTATTTATAAATAGGTAAACTATTTTTAATGGTTGGATTTTAGTTTTAAGCTTTTACATTATGAAAATTATAACTAAATAACTAAATGTGTGAAAAATTGTGTTTACAAATAGAACAATGACAACATGGTGAAAATGAAACAAAAGAGAACAGCTAATTTCTGCTTTATAAAAAGCGCATAACTTTTGACAAATTGGTTCAATATGGGCGATAAGTACGGAAGGAAAGAATGTCGGTGACTGTTTATGCTATTAGTGTATTGTCGTGTTAAGAGCAATTGAGACATAAGAAAGAAGTGGTAACCCGAAAAACGAGCAATACTGTTAAGTTTGTGCGTTTCAAGACAGGGACGCAAAAGGTCTCATACCAGTTTATTGTGGGCGAGGGGACGACGAGAAAGACGAAGGGACCGTGCCATATCGTTGTTCGGGTGGCACGCTTTTGTGTTCTTTTTCGTACAGTCGCTGCTACCTTTTCAGCATTCCTTTCACTTTTCAAATCTTTGAATGGTTGCAAGAGCGCTCGGTTTCAAATGAATTCGATTCGCAAATTTGAGTTCTGTTATCTATTTTTGTATGTAATAGCAAATATGTATGCATAGAATAATAGAAATATTTATAACATAATTGGGGTTAAAAGTAAGGAGAAATTAAGATTAGATTATGGATAAAGAATTAATGATTTTTAATACGGAGTACAGAAATTATAGAGTTTTTTAATACTTAAGTTAGGAATTCTATTATAAATTTGGCCTTGAAAATATTAGTAGCGGATATTCAATCATCTTGTGGATGAAGGAATTCGTTTTAGTATTTTTTGAAACTATTTAGCGGGTGGTATCTGTATTATGCATATGTTCTACCAGAGAACTTAGAACAATGAGAAGGTGCAAATTGAATTTTGTATGATGCTCGATTGGTTGGCTGAAAATTTGAGATCAAGGAGTTCACCACTTCTGTACAGTTTTGCTGTTATTTAACAGAAATGAGAATGTTAAAACGTTCTCTGACAAAATAGTATCTACCAATATAGAGAAAATAGAAATGAAATGAATGAGAAACAAGAAATAAAATGCCCTCACATATGCATATTTATTTTGCCAATAACGATTTTTATGATGAAAATTGATAAATTATTTTATTTGCAAATGCTACATTGATAAATGTGAAAGATTATGCAAAAATGATATTTTACTATTTTCATAATTCTTTATCTCAATTTTTACAGAATTAATAATTTATGTATGTACATCAATATGTTATATTATATATATAATAATATATTATCAATTATAATAAATACATGGGCGCACTGCTCTATATGTAGTATGTATGTACAAATATGCATATGACCGCGCAAAAGAAATTATGCATACACAAATCTACATACATTTAAGCGTACAGTAAGTACGTCAGCCAATAAGAAAAATACAAACATTTTGTACAAAACAACAATTGTCTCAAATAGCATCAGCACAGAAATCAATATGGCAGCCAAATTGACAAATCCTAAATTTGTAGTAATCACACCCAACAACATTTTTCATTCTTAACCGCTGGCGCACAAGCAATAAGCTAAGACGTTTCATTCATAAAGCAAACGCCTTACACATCTCCCGAGCATGCGTTTGCCTACAAGCGTCTTTTCGCGACGATGGCAAAGCTAAAAATCATAAATTGAACAAATTTCTGATATTCCTCTAGAAGGGAAAAGTGACAACCCCTCAAATATGAGTATTAAAATATTTTAGAATAAAAGTGACAACATAGCAAATTTGTCGATTTACAATTCAAGAAACTTTTAGAAAATATCAATATTCCTCTGATTTATGTATACAGTAAACACGCCGTTAAGTATCACTCCTCAATCCCTCTTATCTGCCGGTGTCTTGCTGCATCTACTTTTTTTTTCTTAATTTTTAAAGAAAACGGTAATTTTTTTAAATACAGAATAGAATAATTTTTTTTGTACCACTCGCTTAAGTACCACAATCGCTTATGTAACACAAAGAAAAAAAATCTGCATCTTTGGTTTTGGCACTTAACCGGGATTGACTGTATTGTCAAAGAATTTACGTAAGTACGTTCGAATTTTTGTATGTTTGTAAGAGTGTGCATGGCATCATCTCGGATTTTCTACCAATAAACAATGTTGTGACGCTTTGTCGTCGCGTCAGTTCTTCGACAGATTGACTCTTTGACATAAAAGCAAAAGTGTCAACGGAGATTTCACATGAAGTAATGAGTGTAATATCTACATAAAAATACTACAAATGTGTAAACGACATAATATATGTATGTCCTGTTACATATGTTTACCATGCATTTGAAAGAAAAATTGAAGCATGAATGTGAATACGACGGCAAAACACAAAACATAAAATAATTTAAAAATAATAAATAATAGTTCATAAAAGGAATAATGTTTCAAATAGCATATAATATTCCCAGTTTGGCATACATATTATATTTCTTCAATATTCGCCGTTTGGTTATGTTAAGAGAGCGATGTTTACAGATTCACGCTGTTATAAAAGCGAAAATGATTATTTGTTTTCGTGCATCTGTGTGAACTCCTTGATAAATTCGCTACAATTGTTCGCTGTCGAACCTGCATTTACTCATTGTTCTAATTTCTGGTTCTACAATAATCATGGTAATATTTGCAGCACAAAGGTCTCAAATACAAATGGAATACGCAGCACGCGTGTTGCGCGCAGAACTTACAAAATGAGAAGGTGCAAATTGAATTTTGTATGATGCCTCGATTGGTTGGCTGAAAATTTGAGATCAAGGAGTTCACCACTTTTGTACAGTTTTTGCGTTATTTAACAGAAATGAGAATGTTAAAACGTTTCTGACAAAAACGTATCTACCAATATAAAGAGAAAAAATGAAATAAAGAATGAGAAAACAGAAATACAAATGCCACTTCACATATGCATGATTATTTTTTGCCACATTAACGATTTTATGATGAAAATTGATAATTTATTATTATTTTGCACAAAATGCTACATTGATAAAATGTGAAAGATTATGCAAAAAATGAATTTTACTATTTTCATAATTTTCTAATCTAATTTTTACAGAATTAATAATTTATGTATGTACATCAAATATGTTATATTATATAATTATAATAATATATTAATCAATTCAATAAATACATGTGAGCGGCCTGCTCTATATGAAGTATGTATGTACAAATATGCATATGACCGCGCAAAGAAATTATGCATACACAAAATCTACATACATTTAAGCGTACAAATGTAGTACGTCAGCCAATAAGAAAAATACAAAATTGTTGTACAAAAACAACAATTGTCCCAAATAGCATCAGCACAGAAATCAATATGGCAGCAATTGACAAATCCTAAATTTGTAGTAATCACACACCAACAACATTTTCATTCTTTAACCGCTGGCGCAACAATAAGCTAAGACGTTTCATTCATAAAAGCAACGCCTTACATCTCCCCGAGCATGCGTTGCCTACAAGCGTCTTTTCGCGACGATGGCAAAAGCTAAAATCATAATTGAACAAATTTTCTGATATTCCCTCTAGAAGGGAAAGTGACACCCCAAATATGAGTATTAATATTTTAGAAATAAAAGTGACAACATAGCAAATTGTCGATTTACAATTCAAGAAACTTTTAGAAAATATTCAATATTCCTCTGATTTATGTATACAGTAACCCGCGGTTAAGTATCACTCCTCCAATCCCTCTTAATCTGCGGTGTCTTGCTGCATCTCACTTTTTTTCTTATTTTTTAAGAAACGTAATTTTTTAATACAATAAAATAATTTTTTTTGTCCACTCGCTTTAAGTACCACAATCGCTTATGTACTACAAAGCAAAAAAAATCTGCATCTTTGGTTTTGCACTTAACCGGGATTGACTGTATTTGTCAAAGAATTTACGTAAGTCGTTCGAATTTTTTGTATGTTTGTAAGAGTGTGATGGACATCCGGATTTTCTACCAATACACATGTTGTGACGCTTTGTCGTCGCGTCAGTTCTTCGACAGATTGACTCATTGACATAAAGCAAAAAATGTGTCAACGGAGATTTCACATGAAGTAATGAGTGTAACATATCTACATAAAATACATACAAATGTGTAAACGACATAATAATGTATGTCCTGTTACATATGTTTACACTGCATTTGAAAGAAAATTGAAGCATGAATGTGAAATACGACGGCACAACAATAAACATAAAATAATTTAAAAATAATAAATAATAGTTCATAAAAGGAATATGTAAATAGCATATCAATATTCAGTTTGGCATACATATTATATTCTCTTCAATATTCGCCGTTTGGTTATGTTAGAGAGCGTATGTTTACAGATTCACACGCTGTTATAAAAGCGAAAATGTTATTTGTTTCTCGTGCATCTGTGGTGAACTCCTTGATAAATTCCTACAAATGTAGCTGTCGACGCAACTTCATGTGTTCTAAGTCTCTGGTTTGCGCGTGTTGCGCAGTCGACCGCACATATTCGACATTTGTGAAAGGAATGCGAAAAATAGACTCGAGTTGCTGGACTCTTTTGGCTGTGAATGCCAGAGCGACACAAAGAAATTTGAAAATGCGACTCTTTGAGTCCTGCTGAAACGGCACTAGTGCCGTTTACATTGGGACCAAAAGAGTCTCGAACCAGTATTTGGGTGGGGACGACGAGCAAGACGAAGGGACCGTGCCTTCTGTCGGGTGCACGCTTTGTGTTCTTAGTTCGTAACAGCTCGCTGCTACCTTTTCAGCATTCCGTTTTCACTTTCAAATCCTTTGATGGTTGCAAGCGCTCGTTTCAAATGATTCGATAGCAAATTGAGTTCTGTTACTATTTTTTATGTAATATTGACAAAATACGTATGCTAAATCAAAGAAATATATGAACAAATTGTAAATAAGGAGAAACTTAAGATATAGATTATGGAGTAAGAATTATGAATTTTTAATACGAGTAAAGAATTATGAGTTTTTAATACTTAAGATTAGGAAATTGCTATTATAAATTTTGGCCTTGAAATATAGTTGCGGATATTCAATACATTCTTGTGGATTAGGGAATTCCGTCTTTAGTATTTTGAAACTATTAGAGGTAGGTATTTGTATTACGCATATTGTTTAAACCATATTCATGGTAGTCTCATTGCAACAAAATGTGTGACCATCATCTCAACATACAATGAAATACGCGCAAGCAGTGTTGCGCCAGAGACTTAGAACAATGAGAAGGTGCAGGTTCGACAGCGAACAATTTGTAGGAATTTATCAAGGAGTTCACCACAGATGCAAGAGAAACAAATAACATTTCGCTTTTATAACAGCGTGAATCTGTAAACATCGCTCTCTTAACATAACCAAACGGCGAATATTGAAGAGAATATAATATGTATGCAAACTGGGAATATTGATATGCTATTGGAAACATATTCCTTTTATTGACTATTATTTATTATTTTTTAAATTATTTTATGTTTATTGTGTTTTGCCGTCGGTATTTCACATTCATGCTTCAATTTTTCTTTTCAAATGCATGTGTAAACATATGTAACAGGACATACATATATTATGTCGTTTACACATTTGTATGTATTTTTATGTAGATATGTACACTCATTACTTCATGTGAAATCTCCGTTGACACATTTTTTGCTTTATGTCAAGAGTCAATCTGTCGAGAGAACTGACGCGACGACAAGCGTCCACATTGTGTATTGGTAGAAAATCCGAGATGTGCCATGCACACTCTTACAAACATACAAAAAATTCGAACGTACTTACGTAAATTCTTTGACAAATACAGTCAATCCCGGTTAAGTGCCAAAACCAAAGATGCAGATTTTTGCTTTGTAGTACATAAAGATTGTGGTACTATAAGCGAGTGGTAACCAAAAAAATATTTCTATGTAATTTAAAAAAAATTACCGTTTTTTTAAAAATTAAGAAAAAAAAGTGAGATGCACAAGAACCGGCCAGATAAGAGGATTGGAGGATGATACTTAACCGGGTTACTGTATACATATAATCAGAGCAATATGAATATTTTCTAAAAGTTTCTTGAATTGTAAATCGACAAATTTGCTACTGTTAGTCACTTATTCTAAAATATTTAATAACTCATATTGAGGGTTGTTCACTTTTCCATTAGAGGGAATTCAGAAATTTGTTCAATTTATGATTTTTAGCTTTGCCATCGTCGCGAAAAGACGCTTGTAGGCAACGCATGCTCGGGAGATGTGTAAGGCGTTTGCTTTTATGAATGAAGATTAGCTTATTGCTTGTGGCAGCGGGTTAGAAGATGAAAATGTTGTTGGTGTGTGATTACTACAATTTAGGATTTGTCAATTTGGCTGCCATATTGATTTCTGGTGTGGATGCTAATTTGAGCAATTGTTGTTTTTGTAAAGAATGTTTGTATTTTTCTTATTGGCTGACGTACTTACATTTGTACGCTTAAATGTATGTAGATTTGTGTATGCATAATTTCTTTTGCGCGGTCATATGCATATTTGTACATACATACTTACATATAGAGCAGTGCGCTCACATGTATTTATTGATAATTGATAATATATTATTATATTATATAATATAACATATTGATGTACATACATAAATTATTAATTCTGTAAAAATTGAGATTAGAAAATTATGAAAATAGTAAAATATCATTTTTTGCATAATCTTTCACATTTTATCAATGTAGCATTTGTGCAAAATAATAATAATTTATCAATTTTTCATCATAAAAATCGTTAATGTGGCAAAAAATAATCATGCATATGTGAAGTGGCATTTGTATTTCTTGTTTTCTCATTCATTTCATTTCATTTTTCTCTTTATATTGGTAGATACGTATTTTGTCAGAGAACGTTTTTAACATTCTCATTTCTGTTAAATAACAGCAAAACTGTACAGAAAGTGGTGAACTCCTTGATCTCAAATTTTCAGCCAACCAATCGAGCATCATACAAAATTCAATTTGCACCTTCTCATTGTTCTAAGTTCTCTGGTTGCGCGGTGTTGCGCAGTCGAACCGCACAAATATTTACGAACATTTTGTGAAAAGGAATGCAGAAAAACTAGACTCGAGTTGCTGGACTCTTTTTGACCGTGTGAATGCCCAGAGCGACACCAAAAGAAAATTTGAAAAAGATCAGACTCTTTTGCATCCCTGTCTGAAACGGCACTTATTTAATTTAGCTTTTATTTAACAATCCAGTGATCGAACTCTAGAGTGAATTAGAAGGTTTACGATTTATCGAGAAATCCGTTGTAATACCATTTAAAATGCAATTAGTCATAACAGCAGATTGTAAAATTCGACGAATTTTATTAACCAACCAATTTTTTAAACAAATATGAAAAATTTGTATTTGATATAATCGAGAATTAAAAAGTGAACCTCGGAATTAATATTAATTTCGATTGTTTTTATTAATTTTACACCTCTTCTATGTGATTATACACATTTTTATATTTCTTAACCAATCAGCAAACTATGATAGGGAGAACTATACTCGATGAACCTCTCTCAGTTGTGAGTTTGTTAACATTTTAACAGCTGATGGTTTCTCTACTCCTCCTGTACCGTGCAGCAAACAAACTACGAGACGGGAACGGGTAGAGGTAAGAAGTTAAAACACAGTACTCCAAATGAAAATCCAATCTCTGAGCGCATTATATTCTTGTTTACCATAATATCTACATTCTCATCAAGATTCAATTAAATGAGTGAAGTTAGCACCAGACAAGAACGAAGCTCTTGCCCGGTGTGTAATATTAATTTAGTCATACTTTAACATTAGTTGAAACTGGTTGATTGTTTTTAAATGGTGATGTGCAGTACGCTACGAGTGAACCATCAATAGAGTGACGGTATTTGCTATTTAATTGTCAATAGATTGCGTGGCGCTCAGAACAAAAATAAATAGAAATAAAAAAGTAATCGCGCGAAGTAATAAGTAATTATAAAAGTGGTCGTTATATTTATATAATGATGAAGTTCCAGAATGAATTTACGCAGGCTGAAGCAGATGCAATCGAAAGTGACTTTCAGCGTATAAAAGGCAAGTAGTTGCATTCTTATACATACATATGTATGTATATCGTACATATGCATTACCGTTATTTTTGAAGGAAATTAGATTGTTTATTCATTATTTGCTTTTCTATTATTTAACTGTAATTTTTAATTTATTTGCGCTATTAAATAAAAAACTAACATAAAATATTTGTTTATATTGCAAATATAAATGTATTTGTTATTGTGAAATAGCTTATCAATTACCTATCAACTACCAAGTGGCAATTGATAAAAAGTTGCGCCGAATTTGGGGAGACACTTGTGTATGGGTGCATATGCACATACATACATATGTACAATTTTTAAAGTTTCTTATCTTTCGAAATGAATGAATTAATTTTAAAAATGCACCATATACCATACATTACAATTGCAAATGCTTCAAATGTAAAGTATTTGAAGAAAATGCAAAAAAGACAATGAATAATATCACATGAATTAATTACAATAATGACACGTTATTGTATTTATTGTTGTAAAGCAATTGCATGAAATTCGCTTTTAGTTTACATAAACATATGAATCCGTATTTTTCCTATGGAAATTTGTAGTAATTATTTGCTATTGTCAAACGGCTTTCAACTTCAAATCAACAACTTATTTAGAACTTAATTTTTTACTTTTCTGCAAATTAAAATCGTATAAAAATTTCCAATTAATCCTCTAATCTATCAATATCCTTTGCTTACAGATAACGTATATCTAGACCATGCTGGTACTACTCTTTATCCCGATAGCTTAATCGATGCGTCGAGCAAGGTGCTTAAGGAGAATTTATTTTGCAACCCACATACTTGTAAAGTAACTGGTGATCTCATAGACCAGGCACGCTATCGGTGTGTAAATTGTTTTTGTACATGTCATTCCTATCAAATGCGCTAATAAGGGGTTTCTTTCAGTATACTCCAACACTTCAATACAGACGCAACGGAATATGCGGTGATATTTACCGCTAATGCCACTGCGGCATTAAAACTTGTCGGCGAATGCTTCAATTTCGGTGAAGATGCCAACAATATGGGTGCTTTTTATTACTGCCAAGAGAATCACACCTCTGTTTTGGGAATGCGTGAGGTAGTGCACACCAACCGGCTGTATGTTTTAACAAAAGATGAAATATTGAAAAATCTAAAGCATACTAAGGGTAGTGGTGAAAATGGTTTCGATGTTGAAATCAGCTCTAATGGTAAAGGCGAGTTAAAGAGTAATTCACTAATTGCTTATTCGGCACAATGTAACTTCAGTGGCTATAAAATGCCACTGGATACCATCGAAGCCATACAAAAATATGGTTTAGTGGAGCATGGCACAAAAACAGGCGACGAGGCAAATGCAAAAGAAGCAGCAGAAAGTAATTTTTACATTTGCCTGGACACAGCATCTTACGTAGCCACAAATTTTCTAGATCTACGAAAGTATAAGCCTGATTTTTGTTGTATTTCCTTCTATAAAATGTTTGGGTAAGATAAATGTTTGAAATGCTTGTGAACCAATAATAATTATGCTTATTTCAAAATCTAACAGTTTCCCTACGGGCGTCGGTGCTTTATTGGTGAGCAGACGCGGACAAGCTGTGCTGCATAAACGTTACTATGGTGGCGGCACTGTGAATATAGCAATGACGCGTCAAAATTTCCACGAAAAACGACCAAACTTTACAACACGTTTCGAAGATGGTACGGTGCCTTTCCTCACCATCACTTCGTTACTTGAAGGTTTCCGTGCACTGGAGCGTCTGGTGCCTGCAACAGTTAAGCAAATACCGCTGCAACGTATTAGCGCACACGTATTTGGACTGGCCAAGTACGGTCATGACTCACTCGCCGCATTACGGCACACTAACGATGCACCACTAATAGAATTCTATAATCATAACGGTTATGAGGATATAGCGCTGCAAGGCGGCGTCGTCACATTCAATATATTACATGACGATGGCACATATGTCGGTTTCGCCGAAGTTAGCTGCATCGCTGCGGTACATAATGTACAAATACGCACCGGATGTTTCTGTAATCCAGGCGCATGCCAATGGTTTTTACGCCTGTCGAATGCCGATATACGCAAACAATACGAGGCGGGTCATGTTTGCAGTGATTTCACGGATCTTGTCGACGGCTTGCCGACCGGTGCAGTGCGCATGTCTTTCGGTTATATGACACGTGTCAGTGATGTGGACAAAGCGGTGGCAATGATACGCGATTGCTATCTAACGACAGCAGCAGAACGTTTACGTATCATGAAGAGCGCAAAACTGCCGGAAGTGCTACGCCATGTGCCGCAACGTTTGAAGCCGCAGTTAAAACGCATTTGTATCTATCCAATTAAATCGTGTGGTGCTTTCGACATAACAAGCGCTTGGCCGCTTACGAATAGTGGCTTTAAATATGATCGCGCCTGGATGATTGTCGATGTTAACGGCATGGCTATTACACAAAAGCAGTTTACGCGATTATGTTTAATAAGACCGTTAGTGAAGTTAAAGGAGGAAATTTTGGAGTTACGATTTCCCGGCATGACAGCCGTACAGGTACCGTTAAAAATGGACGTTGCGCATGAAGTTAAACGCGTCGAATCAACGTTCTGTCAAAGTAAAGTGTGTAATGATTTAGTAGAGGGGCTGGATTGTGGTGAGGAAGTGGGTAGATGGTTATCTGATTGCTTTGAAACTAGTGGTTTGCGTTTAGTGCGTCAAAATGCCGAACGCCGTACCCAAGATGGTGTCTCAAAAGATATTAGTTTGGCAAATCAAGCGCAATTTTTACTCGTGAATCGCGCTTCGGTACGCTGGTTGGCGAATAAGGTGGAGACGGAGAAAGAACCACTTGATTATACAGTTGATCGCTTTCGTGCAAATTTGATATTGGAAACTGCCAGCCCGTTCGAAGAAAATTCATTTGAAGAAATCAGCATTGGTGGTGTTGATTTCAAAGTAGACGGTTTTTGTACGCGTTGCCAAATGATTTGTATTGATCAACATAGCGGTCAGAAGACTAATGAGCCTCTACGCACAATTGCGCGTCAGTTTAGTGGAAAAATACGTTTTGGTATTTATTTATCGCTTAAACAACCACAAACGGAAAATTCACTTGTTCGTTGCAGCGAAGAGGTGATGATTAAAAAACAGGAAGAGCATGGAGTCGAACAATAAATAGTAAAAAAATGCAGTATCTAACGTTCATTACAATTTAACCTTAACTACACATTCAGAAATATGTACAATTAAATGAAAACTATCAAAATATGTATTTTAAAGATACAAAGATTTTTACAGTCAGGAATGCACACAAAAAATGCCAGTAAAAGCAAACATTTGCCAGTGTACCATATTACGTCCTAGATAATATTTAAACTTACATATAAATACACAAGGTTTTAAGAGGTATTATTCTTTAATTGAAATATTTACAAAATATGCATCACAAAAATTGTAAAAATAAAACATTTACTAAAATACATGTGTTGACTAAATTATAGGAAAAGTATTTCTGTACATACGAAAGCAAATTTTACATTAACGAGCAGGCGGATTCTGCTCTCACATAATTGGGTGGCAAACCTGAGTGCACATTTTTTACTCTCTGCAGTATATCGTCCTGTGATGGGAAAGCCTGTGTCTGTAATTTCGAATGAACCAACATGCCGTTTATGACCACTTCAAAAGAACCACGTCGACCTGTTCGGCACACTAGGTCCGTATCTGGCTGTCCGTTCATTATATATTTTTGCAGGGATCTGCACTGCCGCGCATGCGCTGCACATAAGCCACTAAACGCAAATTGTACGTTGAACTTCAAACTTAAAAAGAAATAATCTAGCGCTCACCAATGTTCCACATCAACTTTTATCGATTTGCCCATCGCAGTGCTAATTTTGATTGGATTTTTCATACAAATTGATTTATTTATGAAATAAGATAATTTTTATGCGATGAATGGCAATTAAAAAATGTTAATTATTATTTTTTATTTCATACCTTCAATTTAAGTTTCATATGCCAAGGTATTATAAAATTAAACGTATGGTTTTGGAAAATTACAGCATACTCAGGAGTTTCCAAGTCACTGTGTAGATTACATTTTGGCTATCACATCAGCATACAATTGTCAATTGGTTGTTCTTTAACCTTTTCAATTGGTAGACCCTTTTCCGCTCGTCGTACATTTTCCAAAACGCTATCGTGATCAGGAAATGCAAACGATTTTAATTTTGAATGAACTAAAGTATCATCTATTTTTACTTCAAACGACCCCTGTCGTCCTTTGGAACATACTACTTCCGCATCTGGTTGTTGTTGGAGTAGGAAGTTTTGTAACATTTTGCATTGCCACTCGAAGTTGCATTTCGGACTGAAAATAAAATAATTTTATTGCAACGTTTTTTACTTAATGCGTTAGCATATTTTATTTACCAGTACTCGACATCCACTTTGACCATTCTATTGAATAATAATATCTTATAATTATTTTTAATGACAAATTTTCCTTATTTGCGATATTTTGTTTACATAAAATAAAAATGTCAGCTGTTATTAGCAACTCGCCGTTGTTGTTGTAGCCGCAGAATTTTGTCGAGTTGACAGTCCTTGGCCGAAAAAAATCCGGGTCCGTTCCAATTACGTAGACCCGACTGTTATGGGAAAGTGTTGTTGACTGCTGGCAGGTAATGTTACAAAAAATTGCGTTAATTAAAAAAATATAAAAGAAATAAAAGTTGCGATTTTTTATAACAAAATTTTATCTAAATAGCATGAAACAAATATTTTCTTTATACTCTTTCTTTTGCAATTTATGGTACACTTTTAGTTTTTTTTATAAAATATGGCCAACAAAATCAGTATTTTTTTTACGATAAAAATTTTATTTCACCTAATATACACGAAGTCCCCTGTATTCAAATTACATTTCAAATGACAGTTCGTATTCGCTGCTTCGTTTACCAGCTGTTTAACGTTTGTTTATTAATCCGAGTGCAAAATATTTTGTTTATATTATTTATTGTTCTATTGAAAAAGAAATGCTGCACAGACGTTGCATTGTTATTAACATGCGTTCTGCTTTGGCGCTGATTATGATTTTCATATTTAGTGGCATACGTCAAAGTCAAACTGCTGGTGGCAATCTCATGGAGACTGAAACAAAGCTGGAAGGCCAATCAAAAAATGTTACCAACAACAATGACGCCATACCACTCACAATCAAAAGCATCAATGACACTAATGTATCCTGTCCAGGCGGTCCAGAAAGCGAGTGTTCAGCACTACCTTTTCCTTGCATACGCTGTAATTATAATTACTCTTGCCATTATGGTCGCGATATTAACGTCACCTGTACAGCATTGGATCATGTACAATGTCAAGGTAATCGGACATTCGTACAACAAATGAATTGTCGTTATTGCTATCAAACAGACTTGTGGCAACAGTCGTGTGCACTCCGTGGAAATTGTAATTCAGTGAATGGTAACTTTTATCGCACCAATTGCACAGTACATTCAGATGTGTTTTGCCTTGGCAATCGTTCATTTACACGTAATATTAAGTGTAACTGGACTCAGGGGTATCGTTGGAGCACCGCACTTATAATTAGTATTACGTTAGGTGGCTTTGGTGCCGACCGTTTTTATCTCGGTCACTGGCAAGAAGGTATTGGAAAACTGTTCAGTTTTGGTGGTTTAGGTGTTTGGACTATTATAGACGTTCTTCTCATATCGTTACATTACTTGGGGCCGGCTGATGGTTCGTTATATATATAGTAAAAGTTGTAATATTAAAAAAAAAGAACATTGTAATTTAAACAGACTGTACAATGTAGTAATGTAAGCGTATATGGTTATATAATTAGATATTTTATTCAAATAAAAATTTTATTTTATACTAAAACACATAAACTGTATTAATTATTCATCTTCTTCTCCAAAACGTATGTGTTTTGTAATTAATTTCTTAACTTTCTCTCTACCTCTCTTTTGTGGTACTTTTACTTGTTTATTCAACTTCATTTCTCGATCCGCCTCGATCTTTTTCCAATATTCCAACTCAGCTTCGCCGTTTAGCACTTTACAGTTATATTCCGCACAAGTCAACTGGCGCACAAAGTCAGTTGCTGCATCTGCGGTGTCTAAACGTAGATGTGCATGCATGGCGCCCTCCTTTATGTCAACGTACTTTACAGTTTCATATTGACGCATATCAGCCTTAAATTCTTTTATGTTAACACAAGGATTTAAGAAACCTACTTCTACTATTAGTCCTTCCGAGTAGCTAAAGAGTGGCGCTCGTTCTAAAGCTGGATTGTGCTTCAGCTCTTTTGGCTGTGGTTTTGCATCTTCCTCACCGGCACCGTAAAAATTCATATTCATTTTGCGTAACTTTCGTTCGTTGGGTTTTGGTTTTTTAGATGGCGTGGGTGCTGAGGCATCCAATGTTTCGGCAGAAACGCCTTCACCAGCACGTTGTTGTTGCTTTTCCTTCCATGCTTTGCGTTTCAGCTCAGCTATCTTTTCGCGCTGCAAGTTAAGGTATTTATTACGTAAACGTTTCCAATCACATTTCGGCAAAACTTTGAGCTCATAAAAAGATGCATCTGTATTCAAATCTGTATCCTTTCGACGTTTTTCTAAAGTTTTTGCCTTTTTCTTCTTGCGGCGTTTCTTTTTCTTGACATCTCCATCGTTATCTGCTTGATCTTCGGTATCATCATTTGAAGTCTCTCCAGTTTCGTCTGCCGTGGAGTTTTTATCGTTTTCTGTTTTTAGTTTCTTCGACTCAGGCCCTTCTTCTTCCGACGTTTCATCGGCACCTCTTTTCAATTTCTTAACCTTTTTATGTTCGGTATCAGAAACATTATTTGCTTCTACATCTTCTTCATTTTGCTCTTTTATAAATGACTTCACACTTTGCAATTCTGCAGGATCAGTTTCTTGCATCCTTAATACACCATTGAATTCGCTAAAAGCCTTAATCGCTTTATCCACGCTATTCGCCTGCTCGAATTCGACGAAACCAAATTCCTTGATTTTCCGTGATTTAGCATATTTTGGCAGAGACACATACACTACTGCACCAAACTGTTCAAATGCCTGTCGCACCCAATCGTGATCAGCAGCAGCTGGTAAAGCTTCAACATAAAGTGTCTTGTCATCGACATTACGTTCTAACGGCAATGCTGTCTTGCGTCTAACTCTTAAATTAGTTTCATCCAACTCTAGTAGTTCTGAGTTTGTTAAGGACTTTTTGATTTCCTCCACTGAAGACGTAAGCGCTTTCATTTTGTTGAAACTTAGAAAAATATCCAAAGGTACATCTGTATGAGCAGACCAAGAGGTAATAAGTTAATTATTAATATAATAATAATTTCGTGTTGCGGTATACTAACATGGATCTTTGTCCATAAGTTGCTTAAGATATCGATCCTTCGAAAGATTTGCATCGCCGAAGTAAAACTCCATTTGTGCTCGTATTGCATTGAAATGATGTCTTTTACGCTTCCTGTGGCTTTTTTGTCCACCGGTATGATCACCCGCGGCTTCAGCTGCTGGCGGTTTAGAATGTTTTTTATGCGTTTTTTTCTTAGTTTTATGTCTACCCAACTCATTTTGTTTGTCGACAGCAGCAATTTCCATTATTATTTATTTACCAAATAAACGTTTCGCTTTAAAATTGTTACAAATGATATCCAATGAAAATTTATGACCAGCAAACGATTTCAATTGTTTATTGAGTTTAGCAAAGTTGCCAACTTTTATTTATATAAAATAATAAATAACAAAGAAGAAAATTGGCTATCAAATTGTATTAAAAACTCTATGACAAACAAAATCTTTTTTCAAAAACAACAGCAAATAACATTTAAAATATATTGATATGTAAAACTTTAGAGGATACTGTTAAGTATGTTTGATGCTATTTTTAGCTTACGTTTTTAGTTATATTATTACAAATTGACAAACCAACATGAAATGAATACTTGACTGTTGCAAAGCAAAAATCGGATAGTGTAACCGCACATTAGTTTCCCACAAAACTTTTTGATATTCAAACAGCTGTCATTGACATACGAATTTTGCGCGATCGCGGCTTCTCTACTTTCGCAGAAAATTATAAATTTTTGTATTTTACAATTTTTTTGATATATTCTATTAAAATTATTATTTGTACTAAGTTTTTAGGACTGATTAAAACCTAAATTTGCACGACGTCATGTTGGGTGACGAGGAAACCGGTTGGGATGACGGCATCAATTACAAAGCCATTTCGTAAGTATACTCTAAACCGGTAGTGGTAAAAACTCACTAAACTTATTTATTAACAGATGTGAGAAAATACCAGACCTATTTTTGGACAAATTAGTAGCCAAAAATCATTTTAGTAAATTTGGAAAAATTACACGTTTCATATTACGCCCCAGCCGCCAAAGTTGTACGGTGGAATATGAGACGGAAGCACAAGCCGAGCGCGCTTTGGATCAAGCCGGGGATTTCAATGGGCAGGAATTTCAAATAGAATTTGCTACCCGTGAGGTAGCTCATGTACAAAATACAGAAGAATGGGTTAATCCTGAAGTACAAGCTGAATTGGATGCGATGGGTTTGCGTCAAAGTGTGCCAACATATAGACCGCCAGCTGCTGCAATGTTACCACCGATGAAGCCGATGTCGCTGCGCACACAAAAACCACCTGCACAACTTCCGACTACGGCTTCCAAACCCGCAAAGGCTGCTTCCGCAACGGAGTTGCCGAAAATTGATAATTCTTTGCGACAGGAATATGAGGCCATCTTACGAAGGCCTGCTTACAGCGACGAAGAAAAATATCGTGTTTTGGATGCGCGTGACAAATTAATGCGTTTAATAAGACCACGGCAAACAGATATCAAAAAAGTTGAGCGAACTAAAGGTAAATAAAAGCACATTAAAGAATTTGGTTGTATATATATTGTATGCAGATTTTTTTTTTTTTAGGCATTTGTCCTGACATGTGTCCCGAGAAAGAGCGTTTAATGCGCGAATTTCAAAGACAAGTTTCTACATTCGAAATGTGCGCGGAAGATGAGGAAAGCACATCCTCTATATCACACAGACGTGCCATCAAAGAGTATTCGCGCAGTAGCGCTGATCAAGAAGTGCCACTGGCACATGAATTGCGACCTGAAAGCGTGCTACAAATGACAATGCTGTACCTGATGCATCGCATTTTGGACCTTTGTGAGGATCCACAAACTTCTATCGCCGACTGGTTTCACTTTGTATGGGATCGTACACGTTCCATTCGCAAAGATATCACTCAACAAGAACTCTGTTCATTAGGTACGGTCGAATTGGTAGAACAATGTGCGCGTTTCCATATACACTGTGCCGCTCGTCTAGTGGCCGAAGAGCCGTCGGTGTTTGATAAAAAAATCAATGCTGAAAATTTGACAAAATGTTTACAATCGCTTAAATATATGTATCATGACTTGCGCATCAAGGGTGTACATTGCCCATGTGAGGCCGAATTTCGTAGCTACATAGTCTTGCTGAATTTAGGTGACTCTAATTTTCTGTGGGAGTTGAAGCAACTACCAACACATATACAACATTCGAATGAAATTAAGCGTGCAATTGCTTTTTATAATGCCCTACAAAATAACAACTACGTACGCTTCTTCAGTATGATACGCGAAGTGGAAACGTCATATTTGAGCGCCTGCATTCTGCTTGGCTACTTTAATAAATTGCGTTGGCGTGCCATGGAGGCCATTAATAAATCGCACAATTGGCGAAAAAATGCTATACTTCTACCGCTAGCATATCTTACGCGTATACTTGGCTTTGAAGACGAGGAAGCGGCAGCACAATATTACACCTATCATGGCTTAAAATGCGATGGGCAACGTGTAGTGTTGGATCGCTTAAAGCGACCAGATGTGGAGTACTCCATGGAACGTGCATTAAATGTGAGTTAAAGTTGTGTTTGAAATTATGTGAAAACATTACATTTTTGCTCCCTACAGCTGGTCGAGTCGAAGCGCACTGTTAGCGTGGGTGAATGCGTTTGTGGACATACGCTTGAATCGGCGCATATATTCGAAAGTCATTCGCCACATAACAGTTTTGATGAGAATGGTATACTTAAGTCAATTGCCTGGACAGCGGAAGATCAGTTACGCGGAGAGGCGGCAGAAGCACGCAAAAAGGAACGTGAATTGGAAATACAGCAGCAGCAGCAGCAACAACAACAACATCAACAACAGGAAGCGTTAAAAATACCGAAACGCCCCTACTCTCCTGCTCTCACACAGCCGCTAGCTATCACCGCGGGAGCGAGTGTTTTTAAAGTGCCACAAATTGCATCGTCCATTTCACCCTTGCCGACAAAGTTTAAAGCTCCACAATTGCCCCAAAAACCAAGCGAGCCCTCTATTTTTGGCGGTAATCAGTTTGCAGAGCCTAAGCCAAAAGCACAAACAACGTCATTGACAAATTTTAAATTTGAAGCACCACAAAACGCAAGCGGTAGCAGCAGTAGTGGTAGCATATTCGGCGCGTCAGCAAACGATGTCAGCAGCCCGCTTTTCAAAATACCTGGTGCTACTACTAAACCGACCAGTACGTTTGCCACTGGCATTAGTAATTCGATATTTGGCGGTAACGCGACAACTGCTGCGACAGCGTCGTCCTCTAATGGTGGTTTTATATTCGATGCTGCCAACAAAAATACCCACGCCGATAACATATTTAGTAGCGTCGCGAAATCGACAACTAGCATTTTTCAGCAAGCACAGCACCCAAAGCTAGAACCCATGCAAAATGATAGTGTTTTCCAGCATTTCAACACCAAGCCGGGTTTCGCAGATTTCGCAGATGAGCCGCAACTTGCTACTTTCCGTGACACTTCCCCGAAACCATTTACAGCAGCGCCACAGACAACAGACGGACAGGCAGCCAAGCAGCTAGCCGAAGCCGAGGCTAAAGCAGCAGCTGCTAAAGCCAAAACAGAGTTGGAAAGGCGGCGCAATGAGGAAAAGGCCGCAGAAGCGGCGAAGCGACAGCGCGAAGCATTGGAGCAAAAGCGCTTGGAGAGTTTAAAGCAGTTACAACAACGTGCCGAGCGCGTTTGTGCCGCTGAAGTGGAGAGCGTTGTCGTAACGCAAGTAGAAAATATTGCACAGACTGAACTAATCAAATATCAAAAGTTCGAATGCGATTGTAAGAGTATTGCCGAAACGTTGCTTGAACAGTGCATAGCCACGCAGCTGGAGGAGTTGGCCAACGAAGAGTATGCCATGATGTGCCATGATCAGCTCATGTTGAATCGTTACTTTGAACGGTGGCTGCGCTACACACGCAAAAAACAAAAACAACGCGCGCTCATGGAGTCCACACCCATATGGGTGACAATGGACACGCGTGCCGAGCAAACCGCCAAGTTAATGCATCCGAAAGAGTCGGAGAATTTGCAGATGATCAAACGCTATCGGCACGGAGAGCCATGCAATTTCGAGCTATTGCTCTGGCAACATCCCGAGACCGTAACGCGACCCTGCGCCACCGTTGACATATTCGAGGTGATACGTGCGCATTTGACACACAAGCAAACAGTAAACTGCGGACAGCTGCAACAAAATAAGTATTTTAAATTGCTGCTAACGCTGCCCAATGACAGAGATGAGTTGCCCGGCTTCGAGAGTTTATGCAACAAATGGCTGCAGAAACATTTGCGACGTAACAATAGCGCCACGGAGGAGCTGCAAGTGGTGGAAACCGATGCTCAGCGTAAGGTAACTGCAGAGACTAGTCCATATATTTGCGGTGTGGAGCTTGATGTGGCGCTTTGTGTGAGAAAAGTGAGCGGCATACCGCCACTAAACGAGAGCGGCCAAATCGTGCGCAACGAATGTGACAATATGGATGCGATTGTCTGCCTTATGGGTTGTGACAGCATACAGAGTACGCGCAAACGCATACACCACCTGCTCAAACTAAGCCGACTGCATAAAGCTGTGCCGGTGGCTTTTGTCGTCTACGATGGACAGTACACGGACGAGTTGGAGCTTAGTGATATGCTGGAAATGGAGAGTTTAATGAGCGCAGGTCGAGTGTCGGCGTATAAATTCTTTGGTTGTTTGCAAACGAAAAACGAATTCTCTTTCGTGCAGCTCATGGGACGCGCTCTGCGTTTTGTAACGCGTGAAAATCGATTGTCGAACAAAGAAAGCGTTGTTTTGCAGATGCAAACGTTGCAGAGTTGGCTGGAAACATGCTTAGGCGAAGAAATGTGGCAACGCTGGCAATTCTCCGCCGAACAAAACCCATCGTTCGCGAAGATCTGTAGCACGCCGCAATATTTGGTGAATTTGTATAATGAGGCGGTGCAACGTGTAATACACATGGCCACAGTCGATTTTAGTGATATGCCAGAGTTTCCCGAAGAGTTGCGTAAATTTGTACCCAAGTTAAATGTGGATATACCGCTTGGCTTGGAATATTTTCCCAACGACTGGAAGTCTGCGCAGCGCCAACAACAAATTGCACAATTTCTACAACGTTTATTGCTGGCGCCCGTCAAAGAAGCGCCCAACTTTAAGGACGTCGAAGACTGGGAGCTATGGTTGTTAAATTATGCGAGTGCATGCATACCACACGATGAAGAAGCTGCCACATTGGCTAGCTATCAAGCCATTAAAGCACTAATTGAGCAGCTGAAACGCGCTGACTTGGAGGACATCGCTACATCAACACGCTTTCAGCTAATTAACTATTTATCGATTATAAAAGCAATTGCCTACACGCTGATTAACGCTGTGCTTAAGGAGTACATTGCAAATCCGGATGCGAACGCCTACAAATTGCCCAACGAGATTATTTATCAACAACAAGCGCTAGCAGATTATCAACTCATACCATGGTGGTTGAATAACGAAGCTGTCGAAGCAGTGAAAATGGATTATACAATGGTTGAAGCTGAGGATACCAGCTCACAAGATAGGGAGTCCTTCGACGAACCGGGTGTGATGAACAGCGACATGCTGGACGAAATTATAAAGCAAGCCGAAGCGGTTTCACGCAAAGCGGAGCAAAATTTTTATTCAATGAAAAAACAGACGCTCAACGTGGACACAACGGAGTTGTCACGCGATTTGGATGCCAGCATTTATCAGTTCGAATTGGCCAAACAAATCGGCTCGTATGATGCCTCTTTTATAGCAAAATTAGATGAAATCGATGAAGATTTAGAGGGCGCGGTTGGCGGTGCTATTGAGAAAGCGTATGGTCGTGCCGATGGTGGAGGCGAAGGCGTAAATAGTGGTAGCATAACGCTGTCAAATCGAAAACGTAAGCATACGTCGGCTGCTAAAGGTGTTGCCAATGATATGGAAGCGGTTATGGCACGCGCTTTTAATGTTATTAAAAAGGTCGAAGCGGAGCAAGATCGCGCCGAACGTTTGCACAAGATCTCTATGCTGGATTTATAGTGAAAACATACATATGTCTTGAACATTTTATTGGCGCATAATTTGGACAGTATTTTTACGCGAATTTAATGAATGCCCATTTGGTATAATTTATACATGTTTGCTTAGACAAAAAAACTGGGCAGCGAAATATATAAATTGAGATGGTATAATTTTACACAATGCATTTTCTTTTTATAATGTGTATTGCCTGACATACTCAAATTGCAGTAAAACAACAGTGTTTGATATTTCTATTTTTTAAACAGGGTATATTAAAATTGCAAAGTTTGTAGCACCCGGAAGGAAACGTCGGAAACCCTATAAAAAATATATATAACTGAACAGCATGACAAACTGAGTGGCCGTTTCCACGACAGTCGGTTCTATGTAAATAAACAGCCGGATTTTTATCTGGTCAAGGACTGTCAGCAGTCCTGAGTCAGCTGAGTCGATTTTACTTTGTCCCTCTGTCTGTCTGAACTAGTCCCTTAGTTTTGAGATATCTTCTCACCAAGAACCGGTTCATTTGTCGGAACCGCCGGTATCGGGATACTATAGGATATAGCTGTCATACAAGCTGTAGGATCAAAATCAAGTCCTTGTATGGAACACCTTTTTATTTAAGAAATCTTCACGCAATTTTGCACAGATTATTGTCCAAGGCAGCACTATAATCTCCGAACAAATCTTTTAGATCGGACTACTATAGCATAGAACTTCCATACATACTGGGCGACTAAAATCGAATTGTTGTATGTTGTATATCTTTTTTTATATGTGAAGGGTATTATAGCTTCTAGGTATTGCAACTGTTAAACTCATGACTAATATTTCAGAAAACCGTCCAGATCGTTGGTAATTGTGTCCACGAATACACTTCTAACGAAAGCCTCTCATCAAAGTCTCAAAAGCTTTGTGGATTATTGCACTGCATCTCGGCGATTGAGGAGTAAAACGCTTTTATTTTATATATGGCCATAGGTAGCCACTATATCAAAGCTGTTTGTGGAATAGGCTCCATGTCTCTACTGCTTCTAGTACAAGCAAGGATATACAAATACTTGTATGTCGTTAAAATTAATAATCCACCATTAAGAATTCTTCATCTATTTTACTAAAGTTATTTATAGAAATCAAACGAAATTGTACACAGCCCTTATTTCACAACTTCTCTGTAAACAAAGTCAATGTCCAAAAATATTATCAACATTCACCCAAGTACGCAAAATATAAACAAACATGAATCAGCAACGAAAATGATAAACATGTTATTGCCGAAGAAATTCTGGTGCAAATCCTGAAAATATCGGCGAAATGTTTACTAACAAACTGGTGAATGAATCTGCTTTAATAAAGCGCTATAGAAGAAAGACAAATACGCTTTCGTGACAACAGTAGATACAGTATATCATGAAAATAATAAAAGAAATGCGTTATTGATGGTGCCGAACAGTTTTTATTAGAATTTAGCGTATTTGCAAGAAAATTCCAATTCCGATTGGAGCACTAAATATTTGGCACAAACTTGACTACAATTCTACTATAGTTTTAGCATGAGCGTTCATCAATTTCATAATTACACGAAATAAACTTAGTAACTAAAAATAAAACTAGTATTCACATTTATGTGGAAATTATTTCGGTTCTTGTTGCTTCCCTGCTCTATATTGCAGTGTCAATAGCGAACAACAACTGCATTTGCTATTTTGTTTTGATTACTCAGCGTGTGTCTGCAGCACGTGAGTTGCTAATTGCTTTTTTCTTGTATTAGTGGTATGATCTGATGTCTTTTTTGGTTGTTTGCCAATTAACGTTTCCACGTTATCTGTTTGCACATATTTTCTGCGTAGATTTTTCTAGAAATATTTAACAAAATGCGCATGTTGTCGTTATTCGATCTATTGACTTTCGCCTATTATCTGACGCACGCAACAAACTCTCCTTTCTTTCACAAAATAAATCAGTCAATCAATTAACTTTAAATATCTAAACTAAAATTTGTTATTGTTCACAATCATTTCATTGATTAATATTGTATTATAGCAAGAATTATATAACGGGTTGAATATTTAAATAATTAAAGTTTGTTTTGATGTCAGGACAACAATTTATTGCAAGTGATGTTGAACCTTGCATTGTCGTAGCGCTTCGTTGAAACCCTCGCAGAGTGTCAAGTCAGATTGGCCTTGAGCACATTGCAAGAACTGTTTAATTTCCCAAGCGCATGCACCTTGAGGCTCGTTGGGCTGAGCTGCATTGCCATAATATTGCTGTTGAGCTGCTGGAGCGGCGGCAGCAGCGGGAGCGGCAGCCTCCTTATCACCAGAACCGCTGAACATGCTAGTAATACCGGCGCCAAGAGTATGACCCTGTAAAATAGTTTTTAATATAGAATTTTCTTTAATATAATGATTACCGGAAATGTTTAAAATTTAATTGCAATTTTATTTCTTATTCACTTACCACTGCCGAACCAACAGCTACACCACCGGCGGTAGCTGCCATTTGTTGGAACATTGATGGCTGCTGTGGAGCGCCAACAGCACTGGGTGCTGCTTGTACTGGTGCTGGTGGTGCTGCCGGAGCTGTGCGTGCCGGCACATTTGATGTTGGAGCAGGTGCATGATGTGTGGGCACACTCCTGTTAGAAATAATAAAAAAAAATTGTTGTTATTATGTTCTAGTTTTCCTCACACGCATCACTTTTTGACGTTTGTCAGGCGCAATAATTGTTCGAGAAAAATGTAGAGCTGTTACGCAACAAGGTAACGTCGTGTAATGTGAATTTTCTTTCAAAGTCATCATATATTTTTTTTTTATATAAATATGAATCTTCAAAAGTATTTTCCGTGCACTCCTTTATATATATTTATTTACGTCGCATTGTTAATCGCATTGACAAATGATATTGCACTTTGCACCCATGTTGTTGTTGTCACAGCTCCACAATTAACGAAAAAAAGAAAAATATTTCCATTGGTACTTACCTCCTGGTAGCTGGGGGTGGGCTAGCTGAACGTCCACGTCGTACCATTTTTGAAAATTTGTTTTAATTAATTAAATATTTTAAATAATAAATATCACTGATTTTCTTTATCGCTTGAAAATTCACTTGTAATTGGCTACGAGCCTTTCGCTTTTCTATATCTTTTTTCTTGTGTTTTCTGTTTTAAACTGACGTTTAACTCTCCGCTCGCGTGTCTTTTATAAAATTTTTGATTTGCCAGAAATTTCTGATTTCTTTTGTGCTTCTGCGCGAGAATTACAACAAAACGAACTGTCAAATGTGACGATTCCAATCAGAAAATCAACCGTGGTAATAGATTAAAAATATGCGCTGTTTGAGAATTTCAGGAAACGGATGTCAACGAAATTAATTTTGTTATATTTTTCACCTTGAATTTGCTGAATAAAAATTTTGAAGTAAAGTACCGATGTAGTTAGGACTATAATTTTTTATGGAAGCAAGTATAAGTTTGTTTGCTATTAATTCCGAAGTTCAGTAGGAGCGCAAGGAATTGATGGAGAGTAATTTTACAAAATAAGCGGAAACGGAAACACGCAAAAATTTAAAGATTTACTTAGTAATTATTTATGTATACATCAAAGTTTGAAAGGAAATTATTAACCACGAAAATAAATGGCTTATTAATTAAAAAAAATCACTGCTTGATTTCATCATTACTTTAAATTACTTCCTAAATATGCTTCAAGTGTTAGTGTTGATATTAGTTGAGGTTATCTACTGGTAATTGGAGGTTAACTAATGATAAGGAAATTTAAGTTGACAGATGTCAATGATATAGACAGAAATCAAAAACGAGAAAGCATATAATCTTACCCCTTTTTTACATACATATGTACATATTATGTGTGTTTGTCTAATAGGTATCTTGCTGTGACTAATATACCACATTATGCTGATGCCGACCTTGGCTATATTAAAAATAGTAAATTTACAGAGCACAACACATAACTGATAAAAATGAAAGCTGATGCGATTTATTATGATTTGTTTCAAGCGTCGAGAAATAAAACTAAAATATTTAGAAATTTCATAAATATTTCAAATACTCAAAATACACCCCCAACCAGTTAAAAATTATAAAAGAAATAATCTAAATTACTTATTGTATAAATAACATCGTTATCAAACAAAAATTCATGCAAATTTGACACCGACTAGCAACAACAAAAATATTAACACTAACGAGTGTCAGGCGCACAATAGATAAATCACTGAATTGCGTTCCAGCTAAGTTGAGGTTATGTGCATACATACATACACACTTAAGTCATTTAGGCATCAACTCTGTTAACAGATATGTATGTATTTTAGTTGCATTAATCAAAAGCGACAATGACACATCATATGCAACAACAAAAGCAGAAAATCATATCAATTGTTGTATTGTAAGTGACTAATGGGTGGAGGGGAATAAGTTTGCTCTAAATGTTGCAAAATACGGTAAATTGCGGCAATAAAGTGTTTGAACACTGCGAAAAAAAATCGTTTAGGGAAATTTTAAGGCAAATTGAACTATATTGATATGTACTAATATTATTGAAAAAAAAAAATATATTACTAATACATACACACTCAGCTGGTGAATACGTATGTATGCAATTTAGCCTGCAATTTAAAAAACCGTATTTTTTTTTATTTTACACTTTAGGATCCTAGAATCACTTGTTGTAATAGTACAAGTATGTAAGTAGTAGTAAATTCGATGTCCAATTAATTCACTGTGGTGTCGAAGCGTTCGGGCTTAGCTTGAAAATGATTTCTTCAAATCGTCACATTATCTGGAAACCAACGTACGATTTTTGATCATCATTGCAACTATTATTTTCATAAAAAATTTACTGCTTATTTTTCGGTCCATGCAAGTCCGACATTCTGCGAGAAATTTATATAAAGCTTAATGTACGTATTTTACTTATATTATATATTTTTTTTACTCTCAAATATACTATCTGATCAAATTTGATTCGAACTGATATATTTAAAACCGAATCGTGACTTTTCATAGATTGCTACAACCTTCCTTTATGTTCGCGTGAAGTTTGATCTCCCTATGTCAATTAGGGTGTGCTTGGCGGTTGTTTGTTCGCGATGTATAAAGTTGGTGTGGCGATTTTTAGCATGAGAAAAAAAATTTAACAACGAGTTCGCTTGAATGTTGTGTTTCCAATGGAATCGTGACTACAGAATCTTTCAAAATATTGCAGAAGTTTTTTAATTAGTCTAGTTATACGAACACAAGTATTTGAGTCGCACAAAGCATTCAGTGAAGGTGGTGAGGTAACATCGAAAAAATTAAAGAAACAGTGCTTGAAAATCGTTATGTTGGCATTATATAGATATTACTGGAACTCAACATCTCTCTCGACTCAACACATTTTGGTTAATGCTTTACATATGAATTGTGTCAATGCTAGACTCGTACCTAAACCTTTTTGCAAAAATGAGGTCGAGCATAGGTCGCGCAAAAGAGATGCTCGACAATGTAGCAAAGGACTCTACATGGTGACGAGACTTGGCTTTATGACTATGACGTCGAAACTGTCCTCTAGTCTAGTCTAGAATGTCGCTTTAAAAATAAGTTCAACTCCAAAAACCAATATTCACTGAAGGCACTTTAGGCCATTCCAGCCGAGTCTTGCAATAATCGTTTGGAAAATAGCCTAATTTGAAGGTGATAATTACGATTTGTATTAATACGTGAAAATAATTTTTTTGTTAGTCCGGGTCAAATTTGAACAGATTTTACATATTGTATAAAAAAGCTTAAAATAATGAAATTCGATGCCTGGGGATGATTTAACCTACTAAAAGCTTTCTAATGCTAAATTAAATTTTCACAGTGTACACATAGTATATGGTACATACAACAAAAGCTGGTATGTTTCAATTTGTGATTGAATAAATTAATCAAGGCGATCAACATTTTGTGGATCGTGTAAATTCAGTGCGTTTTGAATAACGCGCCCGGAAAGCACTCACTCGACGCTGTATTTTGTGCACAGGGAAAAAGCCTTGAAAATAATTTCATTTCATAGGGAAAAAGTGTATAAAGTTTAAAAAGGGATATTTTGGAAAACGCGTTGTAGAAAATGAGGTGTTTTAGTTGTTTACTAATTTTAATGTACCTTGGCGCCTGTGCAGCCTTTGGTCAGTATCACATGCGACACTATAACAGCCGACAAGTGGATTCCAGTGAGGAGGATGACACGAATACAGTGTTGCGTAAGTAGAGCAAAAACAAGAAGGCACCTTAACTTCGGCTGCGTCGAACAGGAATATTTCTTATAGCGTAAAAGTGTATAAACAGATCTTGATTTTGATTTATCAGTTTGTATGGTTATAAGCTATAAGCTATAGTGATCCGTTATGAACAATATGTTTGGGGAAAGCAGCGTTGCCTTAAAAAAATAATACATGTCAAATTTCGTGAATATAACTTGTCAAATAAAACAGTTTTCAATACAAGAATTTGATTTTGATCGATCAGTTTGTATGACAGCTATATGCTATAGTGGTCCGATATCGGTAGTTCCGACAAATTTGTAGTTCTTTGAAGAGAAATGTACGTGTGCAAAATTTCAGATCGATGTCTCAAAAATTTAGGGACTAGTTCGCGTATATATAGACGGACACACAGGTGGACATGGCTAAATTGACTAACGCTGATGATTTATATGTGTAGGTATACACTTTATAGAGTATCCGACGTTTCCTTCTGGGCGTTACAAACTTCATGGCAAACATAATATACGCTGTTCAGGGTTTAAAAAAAATTTATTAATATTTTTATAATATTTAATATAAGCATTTTATAAAAATATTTTCTGCAAAATATTAAAAAGTCTATAAAGGACAAAATATTTTTATTTAGCCACGCTCTCTTCATATGATTATCATGCTCTCCATTTGCAGGCTCCTACCGCCGTTGCATGTGGGAACAATCGAAATTTCTACCCCGTCGTTTGGTGTTGCTCAGCTTATGTGCGAATTTGTTTTGTGAAAATAATCAAATCGTACCACGATCCAGGTCTATTTTTGTAGTGGAAAAGATGTCTAGACCCAACGAGTAGATATTCGTAGTTGCCCCAACAACCAATACTGTCAATGTGATACCACTAATAATGTCTATCTCTCTCTCTCTCTCTCTCTTTTGTTTTCTTCATTTCTCTTTCTTTTTGCAATTGCATGCATGCCATTTAGCTGCCTGGACATTTTGCCCGACCAATGCGAGCAAGGCGATGAGGAGGAGCTTATGTATAAACCCTTCCCGGATTGCTGTCCAGTCTATTGTAATCTCAAAAGACGCATGCAACGCCTGAAGACAATGCACTACCGACATCGTAAACTTTTGAATTTGCAACAACAACAAGCGCAATCAGATTTACTGCTTGGCAACTACAACGTCGATGATCTGGGCTTCAGATAAGTTTGTCGGCAAGGATGTCACAAGCGGCCGCTTGGTAGTGCCCAGAGTGCAAAGTTTGCCAAGTTTTGTTTGAAAAATAACTGTTGTTTTTTTGTTTAAATTAAAGAAAATTCAATTTAGTGGCAATTATATGCTCGTAATCAAACTCAAAGTGTGAACTGGTGTATTTATTTTTGTCGTCATTTTGAAATTTGTATGCGCGCATTGTAACCCAAATAATTAATTGATAACAATCTCAATGGACTCGATTCATTCAATGGCACCTACGACTTTAGCTCTTTTTATGACTTAATTATTATTTATCAGCAGCTCATATCTAATGAAGTTTTGCGGTGCGCATGCGCGTGTTCGGGCGGCACAACTTATTTATTTATGCGCCAGCAGACTAGTTGGCATGAAGTTGGCGCTGGCGCGACATGCTGCCCACCAATTGGTTTTTGGCCACATGTGCGCATAAATTAAATGTGACTTTTTTGGATTGCGTTGCAATCACAATGAGAGCAGAGTTATAAATAATTCTTTGATAATTACATATTGGTATATAGTATGTATGTATATATGCCAAAAAATACAAACGCTTGTTGAACTGAAATGAAGTCATTTGAGCGCCCACAGGTGTATTTGGAATAATATTTCCTTCCAAAAAATATTTTTAAAACAAAAAATTGCAAACATTTCTGGTATCGAGATCATTTTAAACATCACATTACTTGGTGATTCACTTTTACTTTTGTTGCTTTAGAAATTATTTTAGTTAGACGGGTCATCTTTCTTTAAAGGGACGATAGCCTAACGAATTAACAATTGTACGAAACTTTGCTTCTTTTTTTTATAACCTTTGGTTGAATATAAAGTCGAGTTCGTTCCGTGTTTGGAGATGCCTCTGTCGTGTGAGCGGATTTGTGTTATAGTGGGTGACTATTAAACTGTCGGTTGAGGCTAAAAACTAAAATCTTGGTTTCACTTATATCGGTTCTCTCCTTCTTAAATCTCCTAGTGATAGCTTCCTAAGAATAAGTATGATCTATTTGACAACTTCTTAGAACTATTAGAGCTCTTTTCGATGACAACGAAATCTTTATATTATCAACTGCTAATAGTATTTCAATCTTCTGTAATCTCAATATATCAACTGTCAGCTATAAGCTGTCAATACTTACACAAATGACCAATAATTGTCTTGTCAAATTTATGACTGCAACTAGTTACAACAGTTAATGTCTTACTTTATACACATTTTGCACAATTGCAACTAAAATTGTTAGAGAATTAATAGCCGGTGCATTTTGTAAAACGTAAACTTGATTACATAAATCTTGACCGATTAGCTTTATGGTATATATAGACGGACACACAGGTGGATATGGCTAAATCGACTTGTCACGCTAATCATTTATATGTGTAGGTATACATTCATGGACTATAAATATCG